CTGGAGCTGTGATGAATGGTCACACATTCCCTTTCCTCTCCAACCCCCACTAATCAAAGGAAGACTGTAACTTTTATTGAGATTCTCAAGAATTCCTTGCCTCTTTGCCTTTCAGAGATGAAGGCAACACTCATGGCTTCAGAAACTTGACTATAATTTTGAGAGATGATCAGTATAACTTGAAAAACTTGTTTTCATATAGATTTTTATTTCTTTAAGAGCTACTGTTATTTCAGTAAACTCTTAGAAATGCTTTCACAGGGCCATTTTTCCTGCGATAAGTTTTCATTAAAAACAAATGATGACTCTTTCTTCAACAGGGCAAGAAACTCATAGTACGATGTTTATCTGCTTCCAAATCTTTTCCCAGAAAGACAAAGATGAGTACCATCCAAAAAATTTATGGCTGTTTTGAGATACCAGGAGTGAGACATATAAATCCTCAAAAGAGCATTCAACAAGGTGCACCACATCAAAGTACTGGGCTGCATTCTAACATGACTAAAAGCTTGACTTCAATATGATTCAAACTAGGCAAACGCCAGGCCAACTGGGACAAATAGCATACGCGTGAATCTCAGCAACACTAAATATCAAACCCTGATTTTTATTTATTTATTTATTTTAGTTCCATTCATTCTTATTATCTATCCAATATCTGAATTTTTGAATATCATGTTCATCTGAGCTTTTGGTTGAAGAAAATTTACTCCTTACCTAGCACGTTCACAGTAGAGTCCCATTCAAGCATATTTGACATTCACTCTTGCATTAATGCATTGCTTTCAAGAGTCATAAGCAGAACGTGCATTTCACAGCATTTTTATTCTAGTTTCACAGAATTCATAGAGAAACTGTAGCAAGCACTCTCTAAAATTTCTCTAAGTCTACTCATCAGCTAGGAGTAAACATCCTCATCTTTAAATCTTTTATGTATTTATGTCATGACCCTTCATTTCATGTCCATCATTTCATGTAGCTAAGAACAACATGGGATGATCTGGATTTAGTAGCGCATAGCTCACAAGTTTACCCCACAAATGTACTATAAGTGGGTAAAGCCACCATTGTTCTAATTAAGCAAAGACACAAAATCTGAAAGAATTGAGCTAACCCCTCACCAAGTATGATGTTCCATCACAATAAATAATGAATGAACAAAATTGATCTTGGCCCGCTCATAGAATCATGGCAGTCAACAACAGAAATAGAAAAAGGACAGCTCTGACAAGCCTCCAGGACAGCAGCTAAAATGCCAGAGGTGTGGAAGAAAAGACCTTTCATTGAAGACCAACTCAGTAATGCATTTTATCACTAATTGTTTATAAAAGGTAAAGTTCTTAAAAATACCTGTCTTTTGGTAGGCATATGCTGCAATTTCCTTAGTGATAGTAATGACTGAGGGTGCCAGTATCTTTTGAACATCTCCTTCTTCCATGGTAAATCCATTTATTTCCTGCCATATCAGGCAATTAGGTGAGCAGTAAGACCTCAAGGCTCGGACAGTGCAATTTCACTTCAACCTTTGCTGTGGAAGTAGTTAACAAGACATTGGCTCAAAGAGATTTGCCTAGAGATTGTTAGCTTGACATGCTCTGGCAGGCAGTAATATAATGGGGAGAAAGACCCTACTGAAATTGATTAATTTGTCACCATTACCCAAGACCTGACAGCTTTTTCATACATATATGAAGTGTCAGTAGTTCCAGCTTATTCCTCTGATTAGAACTAAACTCATGTAGTTTGGGTTCAGAAAGAAATACAAAGTTTAAGAAATTTAGTTGAATTCAATTTAGTTGAACCTCATCCAAACCACCAAACCTCTTAACCATACAAAGAGATGAAAACAGTTCAGAAGATGTGTTTTTACTAAAACTGAGATTGTTGCTTTGTCTGGTGTACATGAAAATACTTCCTGGGTTACTTACTCAGCATTTTCCTGCTTGTCTTCAACTGCTGACATACACAGGAGAAAAGCATTGATGTTAAAGCACGTTTTCCAAGCTTGTAGAGTATGTTTATTTTAAAATCCTGTAGCTTTCAATTAGTTTGGCCAAACGCAATTATTAGAAGCCACACTAGAACCACCAGGTAACCAGCAAACAGTTCCAAAGATGAGTGTTCTTGTTATTTCTTCAGTTAACATTTATTTCGCATGTATCCATAAAATCACTACATGGAAAGACTGTGTATACACAGAACAAGTCTTGGCTTTGCTTTCTTGCCAGGCAGCATTGCTCAAGCACAGACCTCTTGACATTTAATATTCATAGCGCAGAAGCATCTACTGATTCCAATAAGAACCAAGAAACGTTACAAGAGATGCCATACCAAAAAAGAAGTCACAGTTCTGCCTCAAAGTATTTGCAGTTAACAGATTGACAAATCAACTATTTCCACTGTGTATGGTGTAAGAAATATTTTTCAGTGATCTTCTAGTCACCTTTAAAAGGAATTGATAGCTCTATATAGTGATGGATAGGACATTACTTCAGCAGTTACTGAGGCAAAATATCTATATCACTTTACCTTTGTGCATATGTATTTTATGTCAGCAGAAAATTCAGCATGATAGTGTTAGCAAAGCTGAATCTTATTCAGAAGACAAAAAAATAAAATTAGGCCAAAATGATCTACGAAGACTTAACTTTTTTTTTTTTTTTTTAGTTTTCATCCTAACAGAAACAGTTTGACGTTTAATTTCAGAATTCAGTACTTTTGCATTTATTTATTTTTGAGAGATGCACCCCTTTTCCAATATTTCCCTCCCAACGAGAGACAACCTAATAATGGTGTGCCTGTGTCTGTGTTAATAGAACTCTTATTTTCACTCTTAATTAATGGGGGTAGGGGGGGGAACAAAACAAGTATTTTGGGGGAGTCAGGAATTGAAAAAAAAAAGTTAAAATAATAATAATAATAATTTTCAAAAAATCAAATATTTGCATAGTCCTCTTGGCCATGATCGAATGATGCCATGCCTTCCTAGGAGGCATAATAAGACAGAACAGATTACCTTTGAGGTGAGTTTAATGTTCTTTGGTAAATGTGCATTACTGGTTGAGAACAGCTTTCCCAAGGCTGAACAGAGCTGGGTGGGATCAGGGCTTAGGAGTAATGTCCTCCAGTCACATAGATCCCCAGCTCTATCTTCAGCAGCCCACTGACGGCCGCCAGCAACCCAAATCCCCCAAATGAGACAGTACAGGATGCTCCTTCAAACATCTCCTTGATGCCAAGAATGTTTCTATGGTAATTCTGCATACAAAATTACAGGCTTGTGCTGTGTAAGAGGCTGCGCAAGGGCCCAAGGAGATGAATAAGCCTATCTAAGGTTGTGCATACCCAGGGGGCTTCCATTATTTTGGGTGCAAGGAAATACAAAGATGGAATAATAACAATGTTGTGCTGCACTTCAATTGTTAAATTACTTCAATACCTTGCTCACAGATGTGCGCAAGTGAATCTAATCAAGCAACTCAGAGAAGACAGCAAAGATTATTTTGAGCGATTATTCCTTTTTCTACTACAGAAAAAGAAGTGCCACCCGTTGGGGATCATTTGTATGTAGGTGCATGTGTGTGCACACAAACACAGACACTTTCCCTCTTTGAGCACACAAAAAAGCCAAGAGAAAAAAAATCCCATATGTAGAACACTATTCTGAGAAAGATGGGACTTCTAGTAACAGACTTGCCTTTTCATGCAAAAAAAGAAAACCCAAAACCAAAACAAAACAAATCCATGCCAAAAACTTGTTTGATTGCTCATATACTTAATCTACTTGCACATTTGTAACAAAGAACAACAGGGTAAAAGAAAAGTTGGCATCATCAGAAATGGGTATCTGAAGAAAAAAAAGAAAAAAAAGATTTTTCTATGCTACTCTAAGGCCCAGAAAGGGGAGCTTTTCAAGCTCTTCTTACATAATTTTTGCTTCAGACTCTAAGACAGCACATTCAACAATTCAATTTGCTGTTCGATAATAGGGACCAGACTGGCTTTTTAATGCATGAAAAGAAGTTGCATCTTTTTTCCTTTATGTTTCTCTATGTTTGTTTGTTACTTACTGACATCAAACTTCCTGCAGGCATCCTACCTTAGCAACTGAAGAAACTGCTCTAGGGTTTTCCAGGCATCTAATACACCTGGATAAAAAGTGCTAATTGTCACCAACTTCCATTAAATGACAGCAGTAAGGCACAAAATGTGCTTGATTTGCAGACACTAGTGCCACTGGGAGTTAGCAGCAGATTAATAATTGTGCAGACCTCGAACATTCCCCTGGCACTGACAGTCTGGGCTTCCAACATAATACCAGATTATGAGGCCTTTGTTTTTAGCTTGCCTTTCTAATGAGGCTCAGGCAATTGCAGTTTCTCTGTACATGCGTTTGACTCTTCTACCTCCCTGAAAGATTTCTGGTCAATATGAATACTTTTTTTTTTTTTTTCTTTTTGGTGGGAGGGTAGAGATCACAAACATGCAACAGCTTTAGCAGTTTTCTGAAAAGCGGGCAGCTCGGTGGACATCATCAAGCCTGAGTTTAAGTGCTCCTAATATCCTGAAGAGAACTGAACCCTAATTTTGCTCATTTTATTAGTACTAGATGTCCAAGGGAGATGTGTTGTATCACACGCTTAGCAGGCAGCAACTCTGGCATCAAATCACCTTTACTGATCATGTCAGACTATGTTCTCAGTTTTTTTCTTTTTTTTTTTTTTTTCCTCTATTTCATGTCATACATGGGCTTGAAGCCTTGAGTGCACATCAAGCATTTCCTTATTGCAGATATAATCTTATTCCAGCTCCCTGCAGACAAATTCAGGGGCCCATGCTTTGCCTTTCCCTTTCTTCTTGCTCTGCTGTTGCCATTTCCTCTCAGCTCTCAGCACATGTGGGCACGTTCTCTTGGCTCAGAAGAAACCATCTCATGGCATGCAAGCTTACTGACGGCTCCAGTGGCATTACAAAGCTCATTTCTGCATGCAGCAACATGATTATGGAGAAGGAGAGGGCAAGGTTGAACGAATGTGTTTTAACACTTCTTTCTTGGTATTTATGACCACGCCATAGCATTCCTGTAACCTGGCCTGCTGCTGCTCGAGCTGCTTGTGCAAGCTCCTGATAGAACGCAACAGCACGAGTCTTCGGTACATTGCTAGCTGGAGTCGGTACTTCTCCTTTTCCTCCTTTTTCTTGCTTTCTAGGGTCTCCATTACTGTTGTGGTCTTCATCCAGATGGCTGAGCTCAGACCGCAAGGGCTGCCCTCAATGCAGCTCTCCACAGGCCACACACTATCTGCAGGCACGTGGCAGCACCTGAGGTTGTTCACCAATAGGGCCACGACTGCCCTGGGGGGCTCACCAGCCTCCTCAGGCACCCCAGGGACACACGATGCTTCTGAATCTTGGTCACAGCTACAGTAGATGCTTTCAGAGCATGGTGAGGCAAGGCCCCCAGGCTTGGGTTTACAGACTGTTGTAGAGCAGGATGAGCCTCCTGCTGATGCACTGACAGCCATCAGGTGGTGCTTGGCCAAGGCAGAAGCCTTGCTCTGGGCATGGCTGCCATTGATGACCACTGATGGTCCAGCAAGTGCTTTTGCTTGGGCCACAGCCTTGCTAGAGAGGACAGACAGTCTTTCTGGCATCTCTGAGCCTCTGTTGCCTTCACTAAGGCTGTCATAGCAATCAGGGAATGCTGTTTCAGCATCGTGAAATGGGTCTTCATCGCAGTTTTTCTGGGTCTCCGCTTCATCTCTTGTTACTGCACATGTTTCCTCAGCCATTTATTGCATGAGCTACAGAAACTTTCTGCGGACAAAGTGGAAGCATGAGGATTTCATTTCCACATACACAGAGGCACACACACAGCAGACCTATGCAGGGTGACATTTGAAGAAAGAATCTCTCCTCGTATTTAACCAATGGACCTATTAATTTTCTAATAAAGCACAACCCTTGGGTCACTTCAGGCCATTTCTTGTGATTTGCATTGGATGTTCTTCGAGACACAACATTAATCCAATAATAATTAAAATGATAAACTGTACTATTAACATTCTCAAATCTTTAAAGCAAAGTGATCTATCCCTGCAGCACTAGCTTTGCTGACTAATTAAGCAGAATACAGTTGTAAATGGCTATTGTAAGCACTTCTCCCATTTAAGAACACAGCTCTAGCAAGTGTAGTTCGTAGAGACGGGTGAGTTATCAGGATTGATCTGCCCTAAAGAGGTGGATGTACCACAAACAGCAGGTTTCATTTAAATGCCCTCTCTGAGATTAATCAGACTGCTAGCAGTTTGTTTACAAGGTTGTCTTTCTCCCTCCTACTAACTCTATCAGCACAGCGATAATAGTACTATGCTAGCCATAGACAGGAAAAAAAGAATACTCACCGAGGTTAGTGGGGGAAAGAAAAAGAGTTACAATGCATTGTGTCTGCGCATCATGTTTTCCCGAATATGAGTCAGCAAAAACTGGAACAGAAACATCACTGTGAAGAAGCAGGAGCAGCAATAGCACTACTCTGTTTCACCCAGCAACAACAGAGTGAATCCCAATCACTGAGAAGTGAAGGGCTGACTTCACCCCCCTGCCCCTCCCCCCTTCCTTATTAAGAGAATATTCTTCCCTAGTGTTGAGCTTTTATGTCATATTTGAGTACCAAAATGAAAACTGGGATTGGATGACATTATTTTTCAACCACAGATCCAAACACACCTAATTTACTCAATATACGGGGATGATACAAATGGCCCATCCTGTCTCTGTCAATCAGCAAGGAGCAAATACAGCTCCCAGAAGAGTGGACTCCAATGCATACATGTTTTTCTTCAGAGAAAACAAGCTTAGATAAACTTTAGATGCATGAACCAAGATGAAACAAGCTTTTGGCACCAAATAAATGGTAAGCATAAAGGCAGCTAGAAGCTGTACATTTAAGTGTTTAATATACACTTATATTTAATTATGGTGACCTAATCTTTCAGAAAATAAAATAGTGCAGCCAACTTAAATATCTAACAGAACAGTAAACTTCATCTGCACCTTTGATGTTTAGAAAAGCTATCTTCAGCATCTTCCCCCACTTGTAAGGAACAAAATTCAAAAAATATCTATCTGCATCTACTTTTGTGAATCTGCCACAGGGCTTATGCTGCCCTGAGGCTTTCTCTACTTTATTCTCTTAATATGAATAAAAGAGAGAACCAACCCAAAATATTTCCTAGAATCTTCCTGGAGCTGGAAAGAATGAGGGTAGATTCTATCTCCACTTCTATATACAATACAACACAGGTAATTTTTTAGTTATTTATTTTTTTTTAATGTTTCATCTGACTATCTCTCTCCCTCTAATTAATCTGTTAAATGAGATATAATTCCAAGGGTGGAACATCTGAACTCCAGCTAGCACAGATCTATACACCAAAGTCTACTTGAACACTGTTTTCTTGTGTGTTCTAAAATATATTTTGCACTGAATCGATGAAATAACTAATTCTACTGTGTTTATGTGCCAAATTATGCTGCAACTAGACTATGAAGAAATTAATATACTGTGAGTAAGTAAACTTTGTAAGGCTGTATTTTAGTAATTTCCATTTGTATGAATCAGAAGTTAGGGTAATTGACAAGCACAGAACTCAGATACCAGCAGTTTTACTCCAAGAAGGATCATTCGAATACAGCATTGTGCATAAGCCTAGTTTTGGCTGCTCTCTCTCCAAAGCACTGCAGGTACGTCTTACCATAGAATCATAGACTCCATAGAGTTGGACTAGATGACCTTTAAAGGTGTCTTCCAACTCCCCTGCAATGAACAAGGACATTTACAGCTAGATCAGATCGCTCAGAGCCTAGTCCAGCCGGGCCTTGAATGTCACCAGGAATGGAGCATCCACCACCTCTCCGGGTAACTTGTTGCCCTGTCTTCCAACTACAAAGAGGACAGTGGATGGATGTTGTGAGGTAATATATGGTCTCAAGCTGTGTCAATATGTTTCTACCGGTCATAATATTCTGTTCTTCCCTTCTAACTTTGCAGCAATTTGCTAAAAAAATCAACATTTTCTAGTAGTCCAACAGGACATGATAGATAAGAGGATATATATTTTTCTAACTTTAAATCTCTCTGCAGCTTCATTTTTTTCAGCAAATCTTCATAGGCTTTTTCTTTGAAGGGAAAGGGGTTTAGAAAAGCCACACAACAGATTTTTGAATAAAAAAATATTCATTTTTTATAGATGTAGACCTAGATGGAATAAGTGAGATTTGGTACAGTCACCTAAACAAAAACTAGAAACAAAATCAAAACTCATTGAGCTAGATGGCTCTTTACAGAATGTGACTACTTCTGTGGTGATCTATGAAATTCAACATAAGAAAAAAAACATAAAAATCAGTCATTTAAACTTAGAGCTTTAGCACAACAAAAATACTGTAAGATATGGAGTAGTATTGAAATCCAATGCATATTTCCTTTTTACTTTGTTTTTCTTTATTCATAATTTTCTAAAATTTCATCTAGAGGATCAGATTGAATTTTTCTAGATTCAGATGGTGCCTGAAAGTGAACATCTGTTGAACACTTCAGACAAGGACTGAGATACTTAAATTTGAAAGCGGGAACAAAAGCATGGAGTTTTCAAGAAAACAGGGAGACCAATGGATACCTTTGGGGAGAAGTGCATTCTGTATTTATAGCTGGGATATAAGGAAGAACACAGTCTACTTCAAGTGGAAACACATAAATTCTTGTTCAATTCTTGACAACAATCTACTTTCCCAAAATTGGACAAAGTAACTCTTAAAATTTAGCTCTCTTTTATTTACAAATCAACAGGTTAATAAAGAGACAAGAAAAGACCTTGTAAAAGCTTCTTCTGTGAGAAGCACATTGTGCCATTTCACTTTATGAGGAAACTTCTGGAAGAGTTTGCAGCTCCAAATGAGAATCTGTGGTAGCCTTTATTGAATGCCTGTTGCTCATTTTGGACCTGCTTTCCAAGGTTCTGTCTGTGGGAAGCTTGCCAGGCAGAAGCTGTTTCAAATTTCACAGTGAATTCACCTGTCAGTCCAATACAGCAAACGTTTCAGGTAGGTAGAATGAAAGCAAAAACACTTTCAGTTGAGAGTCACTGCATTTTATTACTACCCATTCACAGGTAGATGTGACCACAGTAGTTTCAAGGTGTAGACTCTGCTTATTTACCTGTAAGCTACCAGTCCTATACATCCTTGCAAGGTCTGTGCCAACAGTGATTTTTTTAATCCATCGCCTCCATCAGCTATTAGCTATGATAGGTACCTGGTAACCTGCAATCTCAGAACCATAATTGTGTTCGTAAGTGTTCCATGCTTGCATATTTCTGTGATTGGGGTTTATGTCAACACATCACACAGGGACAGGAAAGGGTCAAAGAGAATTCCTGCAGAGTCACAACAGTTAATTCCCCCCTTCCACTGTAAGGCCATTCACCAGCTTGGACAGATGTGAGGACAGGAAGACTTGTTTTTTTATTAAGTACAAATGTTTTACTGAAGTTCAAAGCCTAACATTCAAACACACAAGCAGTCAGAAAGTGACAAGTGTTGGTGGAGATATGCCTTTACAAGACTTCGGCCTGGGATGTTACGTTGTTTTGTACTTGGGTTTGGGGAGTTCTTTTAACAAGGTAGTAAAAAATATCCTATTACACAGTAGTGTAATTCCATATTTTATATTAATTGCTCTTAAAGATCAAAAGCAATATTCTGTCTGTTAATGTACACACTTGCATGGTCTCCTATGAAATCAATGAGATCCACATGTGTGCGTCTGAGACCTAAATTTCTCCCCAAAGATTCTTTAAAATCCTTTTACAGAGCAGTAAGTCATAGAAGAAAGTCATGTGTTCCCTTTCTTCTGCCTCTATACCCAAGCCAGACATGAATTATTACTGCTGCTCCGAATTACACTGGACGATAACGGTACCCAGAGGGGTCACTTGCCAGCCAGAGATTACCATTGTTCAGCACGTTCTGTTCTCACCTTCATCCATTCCTCATCATTTCTCTTTCAGTCCTCTTACACCAACAAAGAAATGCAAAATAAATGCAGCCCAGCTTCACATTAAGTCTACTGAAGAGGCTGGAATGTGCTACAGGTATTCAAGTGGCAGGCTGAAGCATGGTGGGACATCACAATGGTTTTCTATGGCCTCGCAGAAGAAAAATCTGGCATCTGCAGAGAGCTGCAATGTAATCACATTTGCAGATAACCAGGAAGTTTTAGACAAAAAGTTAAGTGGATATGTAATTTTACTTGTGGGAAATTTTACCTGTGGGGAAAAGTTCAGCGCCTTCACAAAAATGAACATATAGGAATCCAATCAACCATCTTTATATTAAGTACAAAAAAAACCACTGAAACAATCTGCCACGATTGGCAAAAATTAGTAAGATTGCTGTCAGTTTTAGCAGAACTGCCTACGAGAGATGCAAATCCCTGAAAGAGTAGCTCAGGCTAAGTTCTGAGTTGAGTTTGTGAGCTTGAAAATCTCATGACAGCGGGTACCAAAACATCTTGAACACTAGATAGGGCTTGATGACAACTTTCACCACAGTATTTCAGCAACTCAACTTATAACCCTGCTTGAGCCCCAAATATTTCCAGGGACAAACAATGAAATATATACTGATATGGCTTCATAAAGATATCCAACAGCAGAATGCTTTGATTTTTGAGGCAGCAGCTGTTCTCCCTGTTGTCTATACAGAGAACATTAGCCTATGATTTGAATCCATTTTAACTCAGAAAAAGAATAATGCTGTCCTTGCCTAAGCCAGTACACAGTATGTGTATCCCACCATCTGATCCATGGAGCCATGCTGGTACACTGAAATAGTCACCAAGAAGTTTCTAAAGTCTTGTGAACTCAGGCATCTACTTCAGCTGTAACAGCAGACACTCAGCATTGCACAGAGGCTGAAGTGGAATTGGAAGATCAATGGGCACATTGAGCTGGAGTCATGCTTGATTCAGTGTGCGTCAGTTCACTGACTGAAGCAGGCTGACTTCTTTCAACGCAAAGCGAACTCTGCATTTCTAGAGTAAGTTAAGAATGTTCCATAACAGAAAGTAAAGGAGGAAGCATTAGATATTCAGTTTGGAGCACGTGCTCTGTGAGGTAACAGGTGAAAAGAGGAAAGTTTATATTAAATTGAAAGAAACGATGTTGAAAACAACAAATTTACCCCATTTAAAATTTGCGAGTTCTTTTTCCTCCAAGGAAAAGAATGGTTGTCTGTAATTCAGTACAATTGTACCAAAAAGGAAAATACAATAATAAGCTGAAAAAAAGGCTAGATTGCAAATATCAGCTTCCTTCAGATGTTAGAGTGAAAAAATTTCCAAATGTCAGTGAGAATTTGATTATTTTTTCCCATATAATAGAATAAAGAAAAAGTTATGTTTAAT